AAAAAAGAAAAAAAAAAAGGAAAAAAAAAAAAAAAAAAAAGAATCTTCTGCCTTATTTATTTGTTTGTTTGTCCATTTATTTATTTATATGTAACTGCCCCCCACCCCCACCCCGCCTCCTGAATGAGGTATGTGCTTTTCCAAGTTTCCCTGCTTGGCTTCGTTCCCTTCCTGAGCTCATCTACGCTGGGGGCTTCAACAATTACATCTGTAAAGTCACTCCCCAATCCACACTGCCAACCTTGGCCTCACTTCTGAACTCCAATTCTGTATTTCAGATATCTGTGAATATCCCTATGTGGATTTCTAGTTAAATGGAAAAGAATTTATTCTACATTTCCATAACAGCTCTGTCTTACTCAAGCAAATTCATTATTATTATTATTATTATTATTATTATTATTATTATTATTTTGATGTCACTATTTCTATTACCCCACTATCCTCCCAGTTAGTGAGTTTCAAAACTTTGGCATTATCTTTGAGTCTTTCCTTGAATTCAGTCACATGGACCTTGCTATCTTTTTTAACATTGTCCTTTTCTGTACCGCTGCCCTCTTAGAACTTGGTTACCTCACTCCTGGTCTTTTCACCCCTAGTCTATCTCATTCTCTCCCCACATATTTACTGAACACCCACCTCATGCTGTCTTGATCCACCCTACATAATGATGTACGATAGAGCTTCTTAAATCACTTTTCCGATCCCAGCGCCAGCAGCTCAGAAATATTCATGGGCTCTTTCTTGGCTACTCAGATAAAGCACATGGAACTAATACTTTCTGAACAGTCATCGTGTGGCGGGCCTGTGATTTTATTACCTCTGTTTTATTATAGAGGGAACTCAGGCTCAGAGACATAATGTGATGTATAAATAGTCACAATACAAGTTAGTGTTAAAACTGGGATTTGAATACGGCTTTCTGGCAGAACTGCTGTTCAGGGCCTACATTTAAATCCTTTAGCCAGGTGTCTGGGACCTATGCAGTGTGGCCCCGGGAGTAATAAAACTTGGAAAGGGGTGGGAGGTTAAAGGATGCTGTTGGAATGATTAGAAGAGGAACCAACTTAGTTGGGAGGGCCAGGCATGCCACACATGTCCAGGTGACTTCTGACGCCTCTTTGGCTCTGGCTGAACCCCTAACTTCTCATTCCCCATGGCCCCACTCGATTCCCTTCCCTGATCTTTGGTCATGTTGTTCTTTGTGTCCAGCATTGAACCCACCCCTGCCCTCTGTCTGAATAAATTCCATACCTATCCTCCAATACTCAATATGAAGACCTTCTCTTCTGATTTCTCCTCTGTCCTTATAAAGCAACTTCTCCATTCTGGATCCTCACTGGACTTCACAGAAAATCTATTGTGGTTATAATGTATGTGCCCCCGACCCTCCAAACTAGGTTAGTTCTTCCCAAGCATCCTCATAGCATCCTTTAACACCCCTCCCCCCTTTCCATGTTATATTGCTCTTATAGAGTGCAAGTTCCCTGGTGAGCAGGGTGGGAGGGGGTCTGGTCTGTCTCTTTGTCTTTACCTGCATCTACCTCAGTGCCTGGAGCATAGTAGACATGTAAGAAAAAATCATCAAGTAAATACCCGATGCATTGCTCCTTCTCTCCTAGACTCCAGGTTACTGGCAGGGGAATGGCCACATCTGAATCATGGGTGGCACCTCTGGTTCTGCATCTCATCCATAGTAGAAACCCAATTTGTACTGTGTGGGGTGAACTTCCCTCCTGGGGGTATGAAGCCAAGGGTGTCAGAATGACTTGTCCTCCTTCCCGCAGCATCAGGGGGTGGTGTGGGACACTGGAAGCCTCCCGCTCTCTTTGCTTTCTGTCCCCATTTCCTGAATCTGTGATGCGCTCTGGGGACAGTGTCTGGGGAGGGCTTGGAGGACTGTCCTTGGCTGAGCTGCTGGGTCTCCTGGCACCTCCTCCTGGCTTCCCTGGCACTCTGCCATCTCTCTGGTGTCTTCTTCCTGCTGTCAAAAAAAATGTTGGTGGAGTTATTTAAGTGAAGGTTGAGAGATGGACTTAATAAACATATTATTAGCTGCCCTGAGAGAGTGTAATAAAGGAAGCTTTATGAGGTACGACAGCTTTCTAAACGTAATGAACCCTTTGTCATTTCATCAAAGAGCCAGAGCACACCTGGGCTGGCCCCCCTGTCGGTCCCCAGTAGGGCACATGGAGTTGTCTTCCCTTCTTCCCTGGGTGCCGCTTTCTCTATCTCTCCTTGTGAAAACGGCGTCAGGTCAGTTTCCTCCTGCAGGATACATTCACATCCTTTTGCAGTGAGGATGAGGCTGCTTTCCTTCTCCTGCCCCGAGTATCTCAGTTTAGAACTTCGTTATACTGTGGGAAGTGTCCACGGCCCTGAGAAAAGCAGCGCTGCCAAAAAGCAAGTCCGGCGCCGGCAGCTGCTTTTGTGATGTCTCCGGAGGCAGCTGTGTGAAGTAGGTCAACAGCACTCTGGGCAGAAGACACTTTAACTGCAAAGACACAATGCCAGCGTGTGTCTCTGACCTGTGCACATGTCCCAGCCTAATGTGCAGCCAGGAGCCCCGAACTTAGCACCACAGGCTAGTTTGAGGTCTGGGCTAGAACCAACTTGGGATCACAGTGATGCTGAGCAGGCCTGCTCTGGGGCCTTCAGCTTTAGGGACTGTGCCTCTTGGTCTCTCCTAGGTGTGCTCCAAGTTCCCCCCAGTTTCAGGGAGCATCACCTGTGTGGCCGCATTTCAGGAGCACTCAAAGGTTATACAACCTGGGAGGCCCATTGTAAACAAGTGTTATTTAAGTAGCTTCACCAAGTATCATACTACCTGGTAGTATTATCTCCTCACAGGCTGGTGTGAACTTCTGAGGCAGCCGTATAAGTAAATGATAGGATAGTGGTGACAGCAGTTAACCTCTGTTGAACTCCTGTTCCATGACAGGCACTCAGGGAAGCACTAGGCCTGCATGTCCTGCCTACTGCTCACAGCAATCCTGTGCAGTAGACATTAGTATTCCCATTTTGCAGATGAAGAAATTGAGTCTTAAAGAGATTTGTTCAAGTCACACAGCTAGTAAGTGGCAGGGCTAGGATGTGAATGCAAGCTGGTCTAACTCTAACATGCATGCTTGTTACCCACCAATGGAGCCTGGAAAGGTAGTGGAAACACCAAACCCTCGAGCAGCTGCATAGTTCTGGGCTACAGAGAGATTCTTAGACCTAGACTTATGAGGTTATGGTGTCTGATGCCAGCTCTTTTACCCTAAGGATAATGCAAGCAATGAGTGCCTTTGAATGAATGTCCCATTTCAATTTCTTCCTTTGCAAAATGGGCACATGCAAAAACCATACCCATAATATTTTTTCAAACAAATATTATTCCTGCAGCTGCTGCCCACTGCCCCCACTGCCAGTGCTACCTGTGAATGCTGCTTGTTCTTGAGCAGCTTGAAAGTACTTTGCCTCATTTAATTTTTTTTCCCAAAGACCCTAAATACTGACGAGAAACATAGTAATCCATGCCTAAAGATATGTTTAATCCGAATTTTATTTTGTCTTCAGAGAATGGTAAATCGGTCCATTGGAAGCTGGGAGCCGACAAGGAAGTCTGGGTCTGGGTGATGGGTGAGCACCACCTGGATAAACCCTACGACATGCTCTGTGATGAAATCATCGCGGAGAGGAACCGGCTGAAGGCAGTGCCCAAAATGAAGGAGCTCAGGTATGAGATCTGCAAATCAGCGAGAGACTTTAAAAACTCTCCAGACGTTAAAAATCACTGCAAAGATGCCCCTTGCTCACAGTGTCTGGTGGGAGAATGGGGTGGCATTTGAGGCTTTGAAGAATCATTTTAGATCTCTCTAGATAGTTTCTTTAGACTTTTGGTGTGAAGACCCTCACTCCCACAGTGCTGTCAATCAGCTGCTTTATTTCCCCACTTCTTTGGTTTTGATCTGTGTTAGTGTGTGAGTTTCCCAGTGCTCAATCGCTGGCATCACTGGGATTGACACAGACCAACAACTGAGCATTGGGATGTAAGAGGGTACTTCAACATGCAGAAAAATACAATTAAAAGATAATACGCCTCTTTCCATGAACATTTTGAAGTACCCCCGTATATGAGAAATGCAGCAATTATTCAAACTTCAGGACTTCGAAGAAGAAGATTGCTTAGATACAGGCAGTTGCATAAGCAGGTCCTTCAGGTACTTATGCTGTGCTGGGCGCTGGGAATTCAAAGACGATCAGGAGCTTCCAGTGTAGGAGGAGAAACAGGCAGACACACAACTAACTGCAGCCACTGCAGGCTGTGACATGTGCTGTGATTAAGGTCGGAAAAGAATTAAACATGCACAGGGAGGAGCCTGTCATTCCAGTCCACGGGAGAGGTGGAATCTGCATTGAACCTTTAGAGGTCAGGAGGGGAGGTGCGGGCAGAGGGCATAATCGAGCCCCCTCGACTGAACGTGAATGTTCTTTGGGGGAATGATGAGTTCCTCCCAATGTTTGGGGTGTACGTGGGCAAGTGGCTGGAGGCAGGGGCCATGCTCTCAAGTGCCCCGAAGGCGAGTTTAGGAGCTTGGACCTCATTCTGTGGGCATTGAGGAGGTTTTTGAATAGGGAAGTGACATAATCAACTGGAGATATAGCAAGGTAACTTGGTGAGAACAGCGAGGCCAGTGATGAGTCCTCTCTGCTGAGTTCCCAGGGTGGTCTCTGTGAAACCTGCAGTCTCTTGGGTGTCTGCTGTGGCTCTGCACGGTGGTGGTGACAGCCCTACTTTGGTGAAATGGAGGTTGGGACAGACATGAGGACCTCAGTTTGATTCCTAAGGGCTGGTGATGCTTCCCACCACCCTGTAACTTTAAAACTATTCGTGGACATGTGAAGATAAAGGAATTATTTGCTGACGGGTCATAAGAAGGCAGTGTGCTCTATCAGTTTAGCTTCTGAACCAGGACTTGAGCAGACCTGGGTTCAAATCCTGGCTGTGCCACTAGAGGGTCTTGGACAAATTATTAAATTTCTTCTAGCCTCCTGTAACAAAACAAAACTAACAATGCCTCTCTCATAAGGTTGTTGTGAGAATCAAGTTAATTTCTTTAAAGTACGTAGCAAAGAGCCTGGCATATTACAAGCACTTGGGAAATGTATCCATTGCTGTTTTTCATATAATTTAGATGGAGACATCTGGTTTGGAAAAACTGTCATGCTGAAGAATGTTTTTGATAATTTCACTTTTGTTTCTCTTCAGAAAAACCCCATCTGAAGAATTCACCGATAGCTTGAAAACGAAATCTCAGTACTATGATCTGCTTGCACCAAATAATCAGGAGACTTGGAACATCTGTAAGGAAACAGCAGGACAGGAGGAAGTGGGACAAGTGTCAAGACCAGCACCAGCCCCCGAAGAACGGAAAATCCAGGTGAGTCTTTCATTTCTGCCAATGGGCAGAATTTCAGAAATGGGGAAGATAAAGATATGGAAGCCTGAGATGAATGTAGCCGAACATCAGGATCTTAACATGGCTTTCCTGGGAAAAATACCTCACAACTTTAAGGTCTTGCTGTTCATTTCATTTTAGGGGATCTGGCTCACCTCCTACTTCATGAAAAAGATAAAGCGCTTTTTTCGTGGGACTGAAGATACTAAGAGAGAATTCTAGGAGTAAAATTTGGCAATTTAAGATATTTTCAGGTTTTTCCCCCTGTTACATGTCTTTTCTAACAGGGGTTGGCAGATGTTTTCTGTAAAGGGCCACATAATAAACAGTGTAGCCTTTGTGGACCATATGGTCTCTGTCACAACTATACACAAATGAATGAACATGACTGTGTTCCAATAAAACTTTACTTAACAAAGACAGGCAGAGGGCCGGATTTGGTACATTCATGATTTACATTATTTTCAATCAAGTCTTCTTTTTGTTGAGAACTCTAAACATCAGAACCTCTTTGGCTTTATAGATCCTGCCTGTGATTGTAGGGACAGTTGTTTCCCAAACACAGTAGAGTTTTATACTCAGAACTGGTATGAATTCTCTTAAGGTGATTTAAAAAGCTCAAACGTAATTTGCTGCTTGGATTATAGTTTGGAAGAACAATACAGCTATATTATGAAGTACCTTCCTCTGTCAGAAATTTAATTACATTGAGTTAACAGGGGAGTTGAAGTTGTTTGACTTCCATTCAGATCTCCATCCCTACACCACTGGTTGTGCGTGCTCTTGATCTCTTTAAAGCTGTCAAATGGGGATACAGATATCTGTCCTGCCGGTGTCATGGGCCTGGTAATACTCTAATAACTAACGTGGGTCAAGGGTTATTACAGGGCAAAGCTCACTGCTGAATGTCTCATTTAATCCTCACAACAACATTATGAACTAGAGACTGTTTGTATTTGTCCATTTTACAGGTGAGGAAACTGAGGCTAGGTATGGTCAAGCAACGTGCTGAAGGTCTTAGTCAAACCCAGGTCTGCAGGACCCCTAGGTCACTCCTAAACTATTAACTCCTTAACTATTAGCTCTCGTACTTGATTTCATTATTAATAAGAGGAATGTGAAGAAGCTTTATAAAGGGCTACAAATATGAGGCTCAAAATATTTAGGGGCACAAGATTCTAAAACTTGTTTTACATGCAAGGGTCAGCCTTGGGTACTTTCCTACACTGAGGCACTCAAGTTTCCCAGGCCTGCTTTGTAGTCACGTGTTTAACACCAGATTTCCTCTAAACAGCTCCCTTTCTAACAACCTCTAGAATGAATAACAGCAGCAACAACAAAAAACCTCTTTCAAGAGCATTAAGTATGCATGCTTATCTCTGCACTTGAATTACAATATTTTCCTGGAAAAAAAATTTCAAATGTAGGACAGAAGACTATAATAGAAATTAAAATAGATATCATGGCTGTTAGTCTTTAACCATCTCATAGACATTAGAACGAGAGTAGCATTGTTCCATTTCTTAGATGTCTGCTAAACAGTCATGTGGAAAGAGATTGGGTTCTTTCAAGAGCATTAAGTATGCATGCTTATCTCTGCACTTGAATTACAATATTTTCCTGGAAAAAAATTTTCAAATGTAGGACAGAAGACTATAATAGAAATTAAAATAGATAGCATGGCTGTTAGTCTTTAACCATCTCATAGACATTAGAGCGAGAGTAGCATTGTTCCATTTCTTAGATGTCTGCTAAACAGTCATGTGGAAAGAGATTGGGGGCAAGGAAGAAGGAAATATTTAGGTACAAGGAATATGGAAATAAATGGGTAAGGGTTTTCACATCTCTGCTTTCCATCTTTCCCCATGCTAGAGAAGATGCTGTCAGGGTCTCCCCTGATGTTTGCTGAAGTTCACTCTGACCTCAAAGTGCACAGGGAGGCAGATGATCTCCACAGCTAGTAAGTGCACTTAAACAGCAGGTCATCTGTCACTTGTACAATTGACTTAATAGTAGATTTATATTTTTATTATAAGCTTTGTGTTACTGAAGTGTATTGAGTAGTATCCCCCCCAAAATTTCATGTCCACCCAGAACCTCAGAATGTGAGCTTCTTTGCAATTCTGAGCAAAAAAGATAAAACCAGAGGCATTGCACTACCTGACTTCAAACTATACTACAAAGCTATAGTAACTAAAACAGCATGGTATTAGCATAAAAACAGACATATGGACCAATGGAAGAGAAGAGAAAACCCAGAAACCAACCCAGGTACTTACAGCCAACTGATCTTTTGACAAAGGCACCAAGAACACACACTGAAGAAAAGCCTCTTCAATAAATGGTGCTGGGAGAACTGAACAGTCATATGTAGAAGAATGAAACTAGACCCATACCTCTTGTCATATACCAAAATCAACTTAAAAAGGATTAAAGACTTAAATATAAGGCCTGAAACTATAAAACTCCTAGAAAAAAACATAGGGGAAACACTTCAGGAACAAGGACTGGGCAAAGACCTTATGAATAAGACCTCAAAAGCATAGACAACAAAAAGAAAAATAAACAAATGGGATTATATCAAACTAAAAAGCTTCTGCACAGCAAAAAGAAATAATTAACAGAGCAAAAAGATAACCTACAGAGTGGTAGAAAATATTTGCAAACTACGCATCTGACATGGGATTAATATCCAGAACATACAAGGAACTCAAACAACATAACAGTAAAAAAAAAATAACCTGATTATAAAATGGACAAAGGGGCCGAGCCCGTGGCTCACTCGGGAGAGTGTGGCGCTGGGAGCGCAGCAGCGCTCCCGCCGCGGGTTCGGATCCTATATGGGGATGGCCGGACACCAGCTCACTGGCTGAGCGCGGTGCAGCTGGTCTCAAAAAAAGACAAAAAAAAAAAAAAAAAAAAAGGAAAAAGGACCTAAAAAGGCTTTCCTCAAGGGAAGGTAAAAAAATGCCCAACAACAAAACGAAAAAAACCTCAA